CCATCTCTTGCTGGTGTGCGCTCCCTGCGACAACGACTGGATTTCTTTTCGGTTTGCTTCCCTTCTGAGATGTCTCAGCGTTCCTTTTCAGACAGTCAGCAGCTCACACACAACGTAAATTTACCAGAATCGGAGCCATGTGGCATCAGCAGCATCGCAGCCGGTCCTTTCGAAAAGTGTGGGGTGCTGCGGAACTGCACGTAGTCCCGCGGTTACGGGAATACTCATAAATATAATTTTGGTACTCTCAACCTTGGTAGCGCGTTATATAATACGTTTATATCATATATATAATAAATTGTACAAGACTGCGCCTTTAAAACGTATATTAATGTCGGATAAACGCGCATGAACGAACACCACCGCGCCGCTTGTCAAGGGACATTGTTTTCACGTCGATAGCGTATTCTCACGTAGTTGCGCCATGGACTTCCTTCCTCCGCCATTGTGACGTAACCTCTCAGAGCGCTCTGGCCTTCTTCTCTGGGAGGTGTTGCTTTCACGGACGCGCAGGCGTCGGGCTTCGATGGCGTTACACGAGAGCGAAGCAAGAAACCAAGCACCAAGCAAAAGAAAAGGGAGCGGCAAAGAAAGAAACCGCCATGGACAACTCCTCATCGTCCTTCTTGTCATGCTTTTTTTTGCTGTTGTTGCGACGGTTTGTAGAATGCACACGCGCGCACAGACTGAGGTCTGGGAGCGGAAGCGACTCATAACTCGCAGAGCTCGGATAACTCGTTGACTCGGGCGCCGTCGAAAGATGATCAGGTATTGTTTTCTTATAGTTCGTGGCGCGTTGTTTAGCAGGCAGCCAACCCTGCTGCCTTCCACATTCATTCGTGCGCACTCCTTTGAAGTGCGAAATGTGGGTTTGCTTCGGCATTAGAACAAAGCGAGATTCACCTCCCTCTTCTCCTCTTGCGCTTTGCTCCGAGGCTTGTTTTTTTGTTTTTTTTTGTACTGTATTTGTAGTGTATGTCCGCCTATTTTTTGGTCTTTGTTCCGATGCTTGTTTTCTGTGTTATATGTTTTAGTGGGTTGGGGTTACAATCAAGCTAGCAGATTCCCGCTCATTTCCTTCGACCTTAGTCTCTGCATACTTCGTTTCACCTTGCGATGGACCACTGCGGACGCTACGAGTCACCCTAGGCAATGCAGCACCGTGAGCGGGACTGCAGGGTCACGCGACACTCAGAAAGCACTGGATTGGTTTCGATGGCCCTCGTGCTGTCTGTTGAGGTCCATCGTAAGGTGAAGAGACTATCGTCACCGCTCTTGGTATGACCGAACTGACGAGACCTGCAGAAAGATCATCCCGCGCCAGACAAGGCGCGACCGTTGCTGTGAGGGCAACTGGGGAGATCTGGGTGCTAGCTGCCACTGAGGTTTTGGCTTCCGCGCGTCTCGGCTGTCCGGTCTGCATTCGTGCTCCTTGTCCTGGACCCTGTTTGAGGCGGCAAGAAGTCAGTTGGACGGAGGTGTTGAGGGGAGACGGAGAATGCCGATTCGGACGGTGTGGTATTACCCCGTTAATTGCATCTTGATGTGAAGAGCTTTGTCAACGCTGACTTCCCGAACCGTCGCCACAACGCGAACAACCGACACCGAGGTAGAAGAATGAATCGGTTGGAACCGTCTGCTGCTTGAACCCACCACTTTATCAGCGCGAAGAGGAACATCACAATTCGGACGAGAAGATAGGATAAATACACATCGAGTCATGGCATCCTAGAAGACATTTTTCAACATTAGTCACGAAGAAAATACACAAGCTGCACGCTGAAAGTTGCGCAACGAAACTATACATCTTGCAGTCGGCGTATATTATCGAACTTTATTCGCCATCTGAAGAGGAAACACGAGAATGTGTATGCGAATGGTGGAAGAGGGCAGGCGAACCAGCCAAAAATTGAAATAAATATGATAAGAAATTTCGAGATTCGTAAAGCAAGCGTGAACTCACGCGTTTTAAAACAGGTTTCGTGACATGGTCTATACCAGGGGTGGCAAAGCTGCGGCTTGCGAGCCGCATGCGGCTTTTCGCACGTCAAAGTGCGGCTCGCGGCTTCCTCCCCTACCCCACCCCCCTCCTCACACACACGCACACGCACAGACACACTCGCCTCCTTCCCAGTCACGCGAGCACTTCCCGAAAAAGAGAAATGAATCGCGTATAAAACCGAAAGAGAGGTTGCGGCTTGTTAGCCTCGTTCTACTGCTACCTTACGTGCAGTTGGACTGCTTTTGACGCCGATAGATTGAAAGTAGTTCGAGTTTCGTTTTCTGCTAAAGTAAAAAGTTTGCCCCCCCCCCCCCCCCTCCCCCGCGGCTCTTGGAAGTTTCGTGGTTTTGTTTTGCGGTTCTTCAGCCGGATCAGCTAGGCCACTCCTGGTCTATACGGTCCCTGGTGCTGCGCCGCGGAGGTTGTATTTTGTCAGAGGATGTGTTCTTGCCGCTGTGCATGGAGTCGCTTCCAGCGGCGTACTAGCCGTGTTGCTGTATTTGAAGAATACACTAATATAGCTTATTCCTGCGCCACGCACGAACTGGATATTTTTATGGTCTTATCAAACAAACACGCTGGCAGCGTATGTCCTAAAAGTTAAATGCAAAAAAGTTAAAAAAAAAGAAAAGAAAATGAGTGGATTTAGGTTTTGCTGTTTGTTGCGAGCCACGTGGTCGCGAAACCGATGTCTTAAACAAGCATCAACATATCAAGGGCTTTGTCGATGTTCGCAGTAAATAAACACTTTGTGCCACTAGCGGTCCGCTTAGTAAAATCAGTGTTTTTTTTAGGAATTTAGCATTTTTTTTGCAATTGTCTCTGCATTTGATAATGTCAGCTTTATGCTGCTTATGCCGGCAACACAATGTAGCTGTCAAGTGCCCATTTTTACGTTTAGGAATTAAAGGAATGGAATGGAACGATTTAGCCATTCCAGGAGCGGGAATGGGCTCAGTGTCTCCATTCCTAGGAATTGAAAGGAATTGAATTATCGAAAACTCTAATTTCCCGGAATGGAATTGGAATGGAATGGGGGTGCCCATTCCGCAACACTGGTTGGAACAAACTACTTAAATATAAAACTCTAACAAGGTTGACCTTGGAACATACTTCAACTGTTAGGACACGCTTAGGCAATACAAAATTGGTCAAATAGAAAACGTTCAAAGAAAGGCAGGGAGGTTCATATTAGCTAAGTATAAAAGAACCAAATCCGTGCAAATTATGCTGGATGATCTCGATCTGACACTCCTTTCTACCCGGCGGGAAGCTGCATACGTAGTTTCTTCTTATGCTAAAGTGTAACTTGTCTAGCATTAGCCCTCTCATGTTCTTATCCCTCCGCCTATCTGTAACATCCATCAAAGACCACATCACGCAACTGGTGGTATGAAAGGCGAAGAATGACACTTTTGTGGTGTATTTACAAGAAAAAGCTGGTTACAGAAATCAGCCCGGTTAGAACATGGCTGCACGCTGTCGCTCGGGTAGGCAGTCAGTCAGTTCACGCGATAGTCTCGCGCGTACGCTGCACGTCAAGGCACGAGCACTGCCACACATATAACAACTTTCAAGTCCTCAGAGTTAACTAGAAAAATTCCAGACTGGAACAACCTCCCACCAAGTGAAGTCCATGGTGATAGCATCGCTGGTTTTATTAAAAAAAAATTGCTCAACCCGTCGACGGAGTGCAAACATCTTTGTATGCCAAACTGTTATTTCGTTGATAGCGTTGAGTTGGTGCTGAAGCCTTGTTTTCTAGATTACTAGTATGTTTAATGTATGGCTTCATGTATTGTTATTATAACAATTAGACAAGTTTAACTCTTTTTATACCCTAGATTAACGTTTTCCTAAGCAGTCTGCATATTGCTGCTATAACCTTGAGTTCTTATTGCTGCGTTTAACTCTTATCAATTTGTGTGTGTGATTGAAGAGCGTTTATTCCGTCATATCTAGGTATTTTTTTTGTACTCCTACCATCATTTTTTAAACGGCCCGATTGCGGGTCGACAGTGTAAATCTTGCCAGACCGGTTGCCTTGTAAGTGGTCAACAAAACAGTTTATTGTGGGAGGAGGTGCCGAGCTTCACTGAACACTCTGTAAGAGTACATCATTCCCCTTCTGTAATGCTTAGCCGACAAGAGCCCCACTCTTGCCGTATATGTTTAATCTCTTACAGCAATATTGGATGGTAGAAGTCAGGTGAGACATCAGCTGTTACGTCTCAAGGGACTATCTTCATCATTGTTTAAAATCGCCTTCATGAGCCTTCATATTATGGCCAGTCAACTCCTGCAGCAACATTTGGTTCGCTTCCAAGCCGCTTAGCGCCGTTGGTTGGCTCGCACGTATTTTAAGAGAAGTTTGCCCTAACGTTTCGTATCTCACGGCTCCTGCATGCCGGTTTTCTGTGCCTTCGGGTGCAGGAAATCAGATTTCGGTCGTGAACTCTTCGGATTCTCTTCAGACAAGAACGCTACTGTGATGCGGAGGAGTGATAGGCTTGCCGTTAAAAACGAAATGATTTCGAGCCCACTTAAGAGAGCAGGCATTCTAAGGTGAGTGCATTTCGCTGGTCTTGTCCACGTATAGATGACATCGCATTCGACTAAAATTAGTTTGGTACGTACATTCAAGTAAATCCTCACAAAGAAGGGGGGGGAGGAGGAGTAAGCGACTTCGGACTCCCCCATCCCGCTTGTGTTTTGGAAGGGAAAAACATAATGTGATGTAATCCCCCTCCCCCCTCCCCCTCCTCCCCCGCCCCTCCCACCTCCTCCCCCCCTTTTCGATGTTGAAAAGCAGCGCGACTGGGATGAGGGCAAAAAGACGAAGAGAACACAGGACAAGCGCTGACTATCAAATGGTTTGTTAAGAGAACATGACGAAGAAATACAAAAAATGAGAATCATGGAGTCAAATTTAGGCGCACAAAACGAGATATTGCAAGAGGGCCTGGACACCATCCACTCTTTCCTACAAAGGGTGGGAATGAGGCTCTCCCCAGACAAGACAAACTGTGTTACCGTAGCAAATAAGAGAGGCAGGAAAGAAAACGGAACCTGCGACAGAATTCATCTAAATGTCAACGGCACCCCCATACAAAGAACCGACTCTGTCAAAATCCTGGGAGTAACCTTTCAAGAGGATGGCAGAGCAAGCAAATGGTATCGTGGAATTAAGAACCACTGGAAAGCTACACTGGGGAAAATCAAATTTGTTACGAGCAAGTCATGGGGAGCGCAAGAACACACACTAAAAAAACTAGTCAGAGCCCTGTTAATATCGAAAACCACCTACGGAATTAATTACCTTCGCCTCAACAATGAGCAACGGAAGGGTCTAGAGGTACTTAACCGTATGGCGATGAGAGTCGTCACTGGGTTACCGAAATCCACCAAGATAGAAGAACTGGAAACAATCGCCGGAATGAACTGTCTCAGAGATATTGCTCAAGAAGATAAAATAAGCCAAGTACTTAGGCTGCAGAAGACTACAGCTGGCAGGAACATCCTGATGAAATTAGACATTGAGTGCCCGGACACACCGATCTCGATCCCCCCGCCACCGTGGGAGGATGAGATAGTCGTGGACACGAAGCCTTTACCCCAAAACCTAAGCAAAGAGGAAATGGGGAGAAGAAAAACAGCAGCTAAGAAACACAACTATGACCTCCAAAAATTACTTGAAGACCCTGAGACAGATATATACTATACAGATGCATCAAAAGTACAATCCCAAGTTGCCATCGCAGCACACAGATTCAGGGACCAATTCACGGTCACAAGAACTCTAAAACCAAGAACGGGAGTAAAACAAGCGGAATTAATGGCCATCCAGCTGGCCATCGAAACCGCAGCTTTTAGCCCAAGCAAGAAAATCTACATTTACACAGACGCCAAGAAGGCTTTCGAGGAGTATCGTAACCCCTCGAGCAGAAGTAAGACGGTGCAAACCGTCAAAGCAATTGCACGCATCTACAGAAGCGAAGGAAAACGCGTAACCATAAGGTGGATCCCGGGACACCAGGAAATACCCGGGAACGACGCCGCGGACGCTGCCGCACGGGTCTCCCTCCCTCCTCATCAATTACCCGGCCTTGGCACTGACTTCGACGACGTACAAAAATTGAACACTGGATCTCCAATCCAACCGGAAGGTGAAGAAGAAGTCGACCCCTTGGCACTCAAGGCTGTCGAACGCCAGGCACGCCGCGAGCGGCTCGGGAGCCTTCTCCGAGAAGACCCGCATCCCCTCCCAGCGGATAACTACACCCGTTGGGAGAAAATATGCCTTAGAAGATTACGCACACATACAGCAATGGTTCCCAAACGCACAGCCATTTTCAAGAAAAGCAGATTAACAACGAAACAGCACGATACAGAAATTCAGGACTCACAAGCAGGACCCTCGACCCTACCCATGAACGAGAGCCTTTGTGAATACTGCGAGGAGACCGCCTCGGAGACCCACGTCTTCTGGGACTGTCCCCGCACTCAAGAAACGAGACGGAAAGCCCTAGAGGCATTGCCACACCATATGCGACCGCATAGCCTTCAAGAATGGGTCCTGCCCACTGGATCCCCTGAGCATCGCAAGGCAACCCTCGATTCCCTCCTCACATACGTGAAGGAAGCCAAACTCACACAATTCATCGAAAACAAATCATAACATAAACTCATCCGCTCAAAGAAGATGACTTAAGTCAAGATCGGCGAGCGTAAATCACCTTTTCATAATTATAATAAAGACATTTTCCAACCAATCTTGCTAGGGGCCTCGTGGAATATGTCACTTCTTTCTTCTTCCATCTGATTTAAGAACCTGTTTTCTTCTTCCTTTTCCTAGGAGCTCTTGTTACCCTAAATCCAGAAAGTTCACCTCGCTGGTTGTTAGAGTCAGGATTGTAAAAGTTACTTCAAGAATGTACCTAAGATACATTTACAGTTACTCATACGAAAATTTACCTGTGTGCGTATCTAGCTACTCGCTTAAAAATGTACCTAGGTACAGTTGCTTCAAAGGAACTTTTTATTTTCACGTCAAGTATTTTTCTCAAATTTGTCACATTATTATTGGAAGTAAATCCTTTGTATACTGAGATGTACACAAAAAAGAAGTTTGATAAACGTGCTTTATTGGTGTCAATGGGAAAATTAAGGCACAACGCTCTCACCAGAGCATTCGAAAACTTTGTCTTTTTCACTTGAGTGCTCGATTTAACCTCAAAACCAGGACTTTTTCGAAATGCTCATCCGACATCTTCGATCGCAGTTTGGTAGCAATTGTTCCTCCTATGCGAAAAACGCGCTCCACCAACGCACTGCTTGGAAGCCCCGTGTTGAACTTTAAGAACACGCTTTTCAGCAGCGGTATATCCTTGAGACAGTTCAGACTTCTTGTCGGAGCAAGTTCGGTGTAGTGTACAAACTCCTACTCCCATGAAGCAAATGAGGACGATGTTTCGAATTTAAAGTGCTCACTGGGGTGCCTACATGTCTGTCTGTCTCAGGGTGAAAACATCCATTGTTCCCCTGAATGTGCCAGTGCGTGACGCTCTCGCGCACTCGGTGCGTGACTTGGGCGGCAAAATGGCGCCTATTTATTAGCCAAAGCTAGACGCTCGAGCTGAGTGACACCGGATTGCGCGCACTTCAAAATGCATAAAAAAACGAATGGGCGGAAAAATGGCTGACATGTCACCACAAAAGCAAACGCGCGTGTGTATGAAGGCACTCTAGTGCTCACAGTCTTCTTCATCCTCAGCACTTTGTTCGCCTGACGACGCTTTTTCTTTAGTTGATGTTCGCATAAGTTCGTTCTTTAGATAATCCCAGGCCCGCTTCCGTTTCATTTTGTTGTCTATCCATGCAAACTTAAATCTTGGATGGCATACGGGAGATATTATCAAATGTTTTTCTTCCTTCATACCTGCAAACCTCTTATTGATCGTCGCGATTAAGCTCTCGACCACCGGGCGGCACTACCTCAAGTTCTCATCAGCAGTGTGGACATGTTTTTGCGAAGTGAAGTCACTGTAGGCAGGATATATGCCACGAACAGGCTGGTTTTGCGCTGAAGAAGAGTTATAGCTTGTGCGAGAGGGTGTAAACACCTGAAGATACTCATCAATAAAGTCAATGTCTGACTTCGTGAATCGCGGAATTTTAAAACTCTCACAAACTTCCTTTAACTTTCCCTCACTGTGATCAAGCATTCCGTGAAGTGATTTGAGGCAATCGTATGAAGAGTTCCAGCGCGCGAGGACAGGCGTGGGCAAATATCCTTCACAGCTTGAAGAGATGGCGTCAGCAACCACATTAGACCTCGCTTGCTTCTTCCATAATGCCGAGCACTTGCTTAAAGTCAGCCTTATTTGCTTCTTCAGCTGCGGCGACGATTCTTCAGCGTTCTCCACGTCTTGCAGAATTAGAAGTAACATCAACCGACTGCCGCTGTAAGAGTTTGCCCATTTACCGTCGTCGCGACCAGATTCAGCATATGGCACACACAGCGCTCGTGGTGAGGAAGTGAGTAGACCCCATCAGATTGGTCACGAGCTTCGAGGACGCTATAGATTAGAACAGGTGCACAGATTTCCTCCTCTATCTCAAACTCCTATGATGTGTCTGTGTAGTCTTCACACTGCCGCCGAGGATGGCTGTATTAAATAAAAAAATAAACATCTATTCTGGCGAAATTGTTCGAATTTTCTTGTAAGAAATATCAAAGATTTCATTTTCCCCTGAAAGCCTTTATGAAATTGGAGCCGCTGTCCGTTGTGGTACAAGTTAGTTTGTCGAGGATATCGCACTCTGTGTATACGCCTTCCTCGAATGTGACGACAGCCCAGCACAAAAGAACACCTTTCCAGCGTGTCTGGGTCGATCGATGTGCTGTCACCCAAGGTAATTCCTTGAGACACCAAAATAAATTATGGCACTGAGACTACCTCATAATGAAGAGAAACCACGACAGTTACCTGTTATGAAGTGACCAGCAGTCCGCAGTAGAAGAAACATACTGAAGATCGCCGAGATTTGTTCTTATCACTTCTTTTGTCTCAGTCGCATCCTTACTGATTTCGCTCATCAACTTTGGTCGACTCATCACGTGACGGCCATGGAAGCCGCACTGTATCAGATGCCTGAAACTCCTCTGTTTTACGAAAGAGAACGGCAGGTTGGCATTAACAACCAGTTCTTGGACCATTTTGTCTAATGTATCTGAAAACCAAATATCAGTTCATTCAGTAAATGCTGGCCTGCTCTTCAGTAGCAGTACGAATGTATCTTAGAATGTATTGTAGACAACTTTCCGACTGTCAACACTCAATTATGTTAAAGAACTTCGGCACGTAGCCAGGATCTTGATGCGGGCGGGAGGGCGGGCGGGGTAGAGAGGGGGGGGGGGGGGCGACTATGACAAGAAGCTATATGAGGGGAGGGAGAACAGAGGTTCCACCAAAACAAGATTTGAGGGAGAGCTTACAAATAACAACCCCCTGGCTACGTCTGAAGAAACGTCCTCCTGGTTTCTAAAACACCCCCTGCAAATACTAATTCCAGAGTCACAGTTATAATTACGTGCGGAAAGTAGTATTGGGAGACATTAGATATGTAAATGTTCATTTCACATAATTAAGCACAACAAAACTGGCAGGCTTCGTTGTCAAAACTTATTGCAGCAGTAGAAGGATTCAAACATCAAGAGCAGAAAATCCAAGTACTCGTACTCTGGCCGAACGGAGAGTTCGAGCTCCTGATGTAGTCTGCCACCGATGGCTGGACTGCTGCTATTCTTTGTTGTGGAGGCCCTGTGCTACATTCGGGTCTTTCCTTTGGTGCCGCGGCTTTACGTTTTACCCCGGCAACATTCGGCTAGCTCTTGTCGACACTCTTTAGTGCTTCCTTGTGAGACAGGAATAAGCAAAGCATGACTAGTTAATACGTAATGCACCGTATCAGAACAGCTCAGCGGCGCAGGACATTATTCCAACTAGGCTTCAGCATTAGCACTTGAGACGAAAACGATATTTCTGCCAGACGCCAAAGATGGTCAACTGCGGCGGAAAATTTCGGACGTGCGGGCATTAAAAGAGAAAAAGTGGTTGCTTTCAGTAAAACTAAAATGAAGACGAAATCTAATTGACCAATGACAAGGCAGCTTACAAATAATTGTTCTGGCTCGGTTCATTTTCTTTGAAGCCCTGTTTACCTAGCGCACCCGGACATCTTTGTAACGACTTCTTACCGTCGCTCCATACGCACTGAAAAGTGGACCTGCACCGTAATTTTGTATAAGCATAACCAAACCTTTTTTTGTTTCGTTTCCCATTCCTGACGAAGACCGGACTCCGGTTGAAACGTCGAAAATAAAGCTTTCGTTGTTCTACCGAGGGACCTTGTCATATATAATATATAGGGGAAGTCAGAGTGGTGAATGGGTCAAAACCATACCTCGGCAAACCTAACTCATGAGGGCCCTCACTCACCCTTACTCACCCTCATCTTCACAGGTGAGGTGAGGGTGAGTGAGTTTCTGAACCAGGAAAATTCATGAGTGTGAGGGTGAGTGACGGCCGTGAGGGCCGTGAGCGCTGTAAGGGCGGTGAGGGCCGTGAGGGCTGTGAGGGCGGTGAGGGCCGTGAGGGAGGTGAGGGCCGTGAGGGCCGTGAGGGCGGTGAGGGCCGTGAGGGCCGTGAGGGCCGTGAGGGCCGTGAGGGCGGTGAGGGCCGTGAGGGTCGTGAGGGCCATGAGGGCCATGAGGGCCATGAGGGCCATGAGGGCGGTGAGGGCGGTAAGGGGTATGAGGGCTATGAGTGCGTGAGGGGCGTGAGGGCGGTGAGTGGCGTGAGGGCCATGAGTGCGTGAGTGGTGTGAGGGCGGTGAGTGCGTGAGGGGTGTGAGGGTGTCACGTTACGCGGTGAAAAAAAGAAGAAGAGGAAAGAAGAGGTGCCAGGCTAGGCGGTGGAAAGTGAAGGAAAAAAAAAGGAGAAGCTCGAGAGAGTGGGGCTCGAGCAGAGGGACAGATTCGACGGTGCCCCGAGAACGCTGCCTACCTCGGCCGCGAACCGCAGAGGCAGATGAATTCGACGGTGACCTGAGAAAGCTGCAGTCCTCGGCCGTGAACCGCAGACGCAGGCCGGCTCCACCCAAACTCGGACCCGCAGCCCTCTACAGAGATCCGAACTATCAAGGCAACGAACCCTGATACCCAGGCGGGAAATTTCTCGGAGAAAAACCTGGGCCACCTCCAACAGAGCCCGGAATTACCTCGGCAGCGACCCCTGGTAAAAGCAACTGGCTCCGGCGAGAACCCATCATCAAGTTTCAACAGACACTGGTGACCCCAACGCGGGAGGTCATCAACCTGAACGGGGACGTGAGAGTTCAAGACATTTCTAACTGTACATGTGTAAATACTTAGGCAATAGGCATCTTTTCTATTTACGTATGTCGCTGTGTTATATAAATTGATTTATACCGTCCGACCGTGCACTCTCCTATCTTACTCAGACGGTTGACCTGAACCACGACAGAGGGCCATGAGTGCGTGAGGGCAGTGAGTGGCATGAGAGGCGTGAGGGCCGTGAGGGCGTGAGGCCCCCTTCAGATCGAGCATCTTTCTCAGCAATTTTGGTGTTAATGGCGGGTTGTTCTCTAGCTTTC